TGCTACTGCATAGCTATAGACCCAGAACCTGTTTACTTGTTAAGTATATAAATGAATGAATGAAATCTTTCTGCTCAAAAATGCTATGAAAACACAAAATTTCTTTACCAAATTTTATATTTGTGGAAGATTTTCAAATGACATCTGCCCAGATTCTCACCATTCCTTAGAAGTTTCTTGATCCCATATCCAGATAGGAAAATTTCCATGTATGGTAATGACTACAATGTCAGTGTTTTAGTAAGTGTTTTACATGTTCAAATATTTTTCTACCAGCCTATGCTGTATTTAAGTCACTCTGTTGCTTTTTGTAACTGCTATCCCCCCAAAATATCAAGCTACTACTGTGGTTACCCTTTTTTTTAAAAAATATGTTCTTATTGACGTCAAAGAGAGGAAGGAAGAGGGAGAGAGAGAAAGAGAAACATTGATCATCGATAGGCTATCTCCTGCATGCCCCCCAGTGAGGATCGAGCCCACAACCCAAGCATGTGGCCTGACTGGAAATTGAACTGTCTGGTGGCCTCTTGGTGCATGGGACAGCTCAACCACTGAGCCACACCAGCTGGGCTGTGGTTACTCTATAAAGCATTCTTCTTTCACTGGGTCGACTCTGATGCCGTGGTGCAATTGGAAAATCTAATTTAAATACTTCCAGATGAGTCATCTGTGAAGACTCTCATGTGAATGCTAATCATGGAGTTACCATGCCTCACCTGCTCAGAGGTATGTGGAAGGGGATCACCAAAGGTGTTAAGCACTAAAGTTTAAATGTGTAGTCATGGCAGTAATCAGTGCTTTTCCTCCTAGCTCTTCATGGCCTATTAAATCTGTTTAGTAAAATCCTGAGAAAATGAATCTAAATTAGTTTTCCAACCAATGATCTGTAAGGTGTGGTACACATTTTAACTGCCACACACCTACTTTCCCTCTGCTATTTTCTTAGGGATATGACTATGAGTCTGTTCTTCTCTCTCATCCCTTTCTTTTATCTCATTTCCATAGACTAGAATAGAGAATGTACAGAATTTTCCTTTCCATAGTACAATTTTTATCAGGAAGTATCACTTGGGATCAGTTCCTTTCTGTTATTTGGTCTGATGTGATGGCACAACATGTTATTGGGACTCTCCTTACCCATCTGTCCTGTCCTATGCAAAGGTCAGAGTCAGCTGGCTCCATCTCTCAACACAGCCAGCACAGAATTCAAAACAAAACAAAACTGGTTTTGATAATTGAACGTTGGTCGAACAAGATGTTAAACATTAGGAGAAGCTGGGTAAAAGATCTACAAGAATTCTCTGTACATTTTTTGTAGTTTTTTCTAAGTCTAAAGTTATTTCAAAATAAAACTCTTTTACAAAGCCCTGTAGAACTCTATATTTTTGCTTTGTGTGCAGCCAATGGCCTGAATTTCACTAATAATTCACTGTAACTGAAATAAATGGCCTGAAGTTCACCAATAATTCACTTTAATCTTGCACTAACTTTTACAACTACTGTATTTCTCCTAATACCCTCAGCTCCTGATCACATAATGCCTGAGATTCATTTCTACAGTTTGACACTTGATGCTGGCCATCAGTTTCTGAACTTCATCTTCTTTTCTTAAGAACCCTTTAGTTTTAGATTATTCAGCTCACTCATCTAATACAGGCCCCAGGTGTAGGTTAGGCTTCCTGGGCTCACAACTGGATTAGTCAAAGCTAATCTTCTTGACAGCCGCCATGGATGTGCACCACTTTCAGAGCTTGTAGGTATTCATCACAGAAAAGTGAGCACCAGAGGCCTCACCTTTTACTCTCTTCCTCTCAGAGCATCACTGTTAGTCTTCTTTCCAAGGTCAGAACTTGGCGCTGGGAGAAGACTGACCTCCAATGTCTTTCCCATTGGCTTGACAACTTAATCCCTAAGTCATCCTGACCAGAAGAGGGAGTAGTGCCTGGGCCGGTGTGGCTCAGTTGGCTGGGCATCGTCCAGTGCAATGGGAGGTTTCTGCTTTGATTCCCTGCCGGGGCACACACCTGGGTTTCGAGCTCCATCCCCAGTGGGGAGCATGCAGGAGGCAACTGATTGATGTGCTCACATATTGATGTTTCTCTCTTCTCATTTCCTCTCTATCTAAAACAATCAATAAAAAATAAAAAAAAAAACTATTGAAAAAGAAGAGGAAGTAGTAACACTGGGAACCTTCCAGTTCAGGCATTAGTCTTCCAGACTCCCAACTGTTTACCCAGTCTGTTCAAATGGATCCCTGCTCCAGTTTCCCACTTGACATAGACTGCTATACCACGTGCTTACTGTTTAAAAAGATTAGTAGTGGCCTTTCCCTCTCACCTCTGAAGTAACATGTGCAAAGAAAAGTGTTAAAAACCCAAATCACCCATAATTCCATGAAGCAGCAAAAAAGAGATAGCAACGGGGATTTAAAAAAACAACACATAATACATTTGTATTTATATTTATTTTCTGGTATTCTGATTCTTAACTCAATAAAATGTACCTATCAGAAACCCACATCAAGCCTCTAACATCATGCAGAAGACTTAAACATGTCCTTTAGTGTAGGGAACAAGTTGAGGATAGCTGCTCTCACTGCTAGTTAAAATAGTACTGCAGAGAGACCAAGGTGGTCACAGATTAGGTGGAAGCTACACTACCCTTCTCCCATGACCAAACTGGAATTACAACTAAATTATTAAAAAATCATCCTGAATAACCAACTGAAGACTAGCTGGAAAGAAGCCTTATGACCTTGGACTTATAGACGAAGCCACATCAAGACTGGTAGGAAGTACGGAGGCATGAGAGGGCTGGCCGGGCTCCCACAGGCAGCAGCTGGACTCCTGGAGGGATAGCTCAGCGGTGGGGGTTCCCCCTGAGAATAGTGGGGTCTAGCCGGGCTCCCAGGCCTAGAGCATCAGAACTGGGAAAGGCGCCCACATAACATCCAGCTGTGAGAAGCAGTGGGGTTTCTGTCCACCGGGGAGAGACAGTGGAGAGATGCAGGCACCGCCTTAAAGAGCCAACACACAAAACTTCATTCACAGCCACTCACCCTGGGCTCCGGCACAGGGAGGGAACTGTGCACTAGAGCTGTGTGAGGAGAATCTGGGCCTGGTGGTTCTGGGGAAAGAGCTGAAGGGTCAGTCGCCAGGATCCCTGGCTCAGCGAAGGAACAATGACCTCTGCCAACACTTCTGCCTGGGAGAAAACTGCCCCTCCAGCTCTTGCCCTGATCCCGGACAATTCAGTCCCTCCCCATGTGTCCCTGGTGTCTTTGGAGCTGCTGCCCCAGCACTGGAGCTCAGAGCAAGTGAGTCCAAAGAAGTCCCTGTGTGGGCCCTTTAGGAGGAACCCCTAGGTCTCCAGCAGCCCCGCATCTCGCTCAGCCACAATCCCCACTGGCCTTTATAGCCAGGAGTTACGGGGACTTCTCTTCCTGGCACTGGAACCCTGGGCTGGGGGCCTGGTGCGGGGCTGGAATCTCTTGCTCTTCAGGGGGACCTCCGCAGCCAAGACATCTTAATTTTTATCTGGTGTGGGACCAGCCAGTTCTGCACCTCAGCCCCTCCTACCAGTCTCACTGTGGCTTCTTTAAATCCCTCTTTGTAGGACTTCCATTCAGCTAGATTTCAGGTGGTTCTGAATGATGGTTGTTCTGTAGTTTAGCTTAAATTTTGATGTGGTTGGGGGAGGATGTGAGTACCACATTTACCTACGCTGCCATCTTGATGGGAACCCCTAAAAGTTTCTTTTTAAAGGGTCCAAAAAATCAAGCTACAGAAAGACATCACTTCCGTTATATACCTACATAATCATCTAATTTTTTAAAAAGCTGGTATCTTTGTGTGCATGTGCACTGTGTACCCAAACACACACACATAATTAATGTATACCTATAGAACTGGGCTGTGCAGTAGCCACTAGTCAATGTGGCTATTTAAATTTAATTAAAGCTAAATAAAATAAAAAATAAGTAATATTTTCTCAGTCATACTAGTCACATTTCAAGTGCTCAATAGCTAAAGTGACAAGTTACCATCTTGGAAAGAACATTTTCATCACTGCAGAAATCCTATTGGACAGCACTGCTGTAAGGGGTATGTGAGTGTGTGTGTGTATCATTGCATTGAAAAGGGACTTTGAAATATATACCAAGTAAGTGGTTACTTCTAGAGAAAGGGGTTCACTTTTTATTCTATATTCTTCTGTATTCTTTCTATTTTTATGAGCATATATATTTTTTATTATTTTAGTAGTTTAAAATGTTTTGCACTTTAGTTTAAAAATATGTGTTTTAGCCCTAGTTGGTGTGGCTCAGTTGGTTGGAGCATTGTCCTGGGCACCAAAAGGTAGTGGAACATTCCTGGTGGGGACACGTGCCCAAGTTGTAGGTTTGATCCCCGGTTGGGGCGTGTGGGGGAGGCAACCAACTGATGTTTCTCTCTCACATCGATGTTCCCCTCTCTCTCCCCGTCTTTCCTTCCTATCAATAAAATATATATAAATATATATATATTTTAAATGGTGCACAAGATATCCTTTAACTGAGTTATTTTCCTTAGTATTCCTATCATTTTCCACTTGTCTAGTAAAGGCAATATTTGTTCAGCAAAACTTAGCACTAAAAGGCTTCTCGAAAACTTGAGCATTTGCCCTGGCAGGTGTGGTCCCGTTGGCTGAGTATTGTCCCATTCACCTAGAGGTCACAGGTTTGATTCCCGGTCAGGGCACATGCCTGGGCTGTGGGCTCGGTTCCCAGTGGGGGGCATGCAGGAGGCAGCCCATCGATGTCTCTCATCAATGTTTCCCTGTCTCTCTAAAAAAAAAAAAAAAAAAATCAATAAAGCATATTTTAAAAAAAACTTGGCCATTTGATAATCAAGTAATTGTGATAATAGTAACATGAGGCTTTTTCCTAAATTGTATCTTGATTTTTAAAAAATGAATAAAGCAGGCAAACATGGAAAGATAACTTATTCCTGCCTCAAATTTTAAAATAGTTGTACCTAATTTCAATGAAATTGAGCTTCCATTATATTCTCTTTCTTATCATTCTCAAAACTCTCCTGACACCCCCAAAAGGGAAAGTTTAATTATTTTTCAGTGGACAGATGTTTTTTAGACAGGCATGTGTGATTGTATGAATGTGCTTATTTATGTATTTTTTAAGTACTAGGAGCATGTTAAACATGTTAAAAATGCTCTTTAGTGGATATTAACCAACCATCAAATAAAAATACACAACAGCCCCAAAGGTGGAAAACAATATATTAATTTATTTCCAAGAAAACAACATGGAACAGCATCAAAAACAGAGACAGATTCAGTAGTTTTGGGGCATCTCCAAGGGGAGGAGAAACCCACTACCCAACACTACACTCTTCCAACATTAAAGTATTAAAGACACAGGAGAGATGACCAACAACAGACATGTAAACATCTATTCCAAAATATTTCTCATTCTATGTGAGAAAGATCCAGTGTAAAACATTACTTCTCAGGTGGTATCATTTAAATAAGTTGCAAACTGACTCTGCCATGAGCTCTCGGTGTTCCCTACCCCTCAGCCCTTTACCACCCAATACACGTCCATCTTTCTAAGCAGCAGGAACAAAGACGGCTTTCTTTCGAAGTCATTCCTTTTAAATAGGATTAACATTCGACAGGCACAATTACAGGAAAAAAAGAAAAAATGTGTTAATTAAATGCATCATTAGCTGGAGTAGCTGTTTTTCATCAGAATAAATAAATATTAAGGAGCCCAGTGGATTAGAGGAATACAAAAGTAGACTTCACATTTTTCTGAGGCGACAGGACTTTTTCTCAATATTAACACTGAGATCATTCTTCAAACGTACCTTCTCTGGTATACTAAATATGGCTATATTTCACCTTCGTTAATATTCCACCTCAGGAAATGACCTAAGGCCAGTAGGAGAATCCCACCTGTCAGACAGAGAGCTTGTTTCCTAAGCCTCAGTAACAACCTCTCTAAGCCTCAGCTACTTCATCTGCAAAAACGGGGGTCATGAGGACCTCACAAGGGCCTTGTGAGGTTTGAATGCAGTGAGCTGGCAGAATGCCTTGAACACGTAGGCTTTTTAGCTTCCCGTCTCCTCCTTCCCTTCACTCTTTTGAGTAATCTCTGATTTAAACCTTAATTTGTAATTACTGAGATCCTTGATCCGATATCACAATTTACAATCCTACATATGAATGTCTTAAAATACAACCATTACCTAAGGTTCTCTAGAGCAGTCTTCCCAACGTTAACATTATTACCAAGATTTTTAGAGTGAAAAGCTTGTGTCTTATTTTCCCTGCCTTGTCTCAGCACGTGTCAGGTGTATAATAGACACTCGAGAAATATTTACTGACTGCATGCTGGGCGAATTAGAGGAGGGAATGGACAACGGATACGTGGCAGGGATGCTCACTCACAACTGAAAGCTCTTAAAAATCTAGGCGTTCTTATCAGCACCAGGCATTGTTAAGCCACTCAGAGAACACTATGGAGTTGTTAAAGCCTCACAGGACAGCATTTGGTTTCCATTTTGCACATAAGATAATTTTGGTGGGGGTGGAGGGGGGTGGCAGAAGAGGAAAGTGACTCATTCTGAGGTATAAGGGATTTGAGACTAGATCCATGCAGTACCACCTCTCTTCGAGGAGTATCTTCATTCTGTGAGAACTTTCCAGCGTTCTCAATGAAAAGTTACGGAAGAGGGATCAGAGCACATTCTGACATAATCGAGAAATAGTCTGTCTCCCGGGGGCCTTCTACTGAAGCAGCAGGCAGTGATGCTTAAGGCACGCCCTGCCTCCGGTTAATGACTTTATAGTCTATACAGACCTTCAGACAAGTAAACTGAAAATGCTTGTGTTAAAACTCAGGAACAGGATCTAGTTCTCAGTTCTAATAGCTCAAGTTTTAAAGGAGGTTGGTGAGTTACCTAAAAGCTGCTTATATGTCTATGTGCAGTTGAGCAAAGAAGAGTAGTGTCCATTAATATGTGGTTGTGGATCTGTTATAAAAGATTCGCTCTTCAAAGAAACCCAATCCTTATTTTCCTAAATCATATTACCTATGATTCTCCTTTTGATCAGAACATTTATATTAGGATGAGTTTCTGGTGTAAAGAGTGACGACAGTGAAATTGATCATTGATCAGAGAACAAGTGGACACAGAAGTGAGCATCAGGAAACAGCCAGAGTGGCCAAAGTGCCAGGGCCGCTCTGTGCAGCCTCCTGTTGGCGTAGTTCACAGTGTCCAGTGGATATTTCAACTTAGAGGGGTGGAGCCAGGTCCTGAAGCCACGACCTCAGTCCTGAACCCTTAGCCAAGGCAAAGTCCCCTCACAAAGGCTCTTCATCCCAAGGGCAACTTCCCTTCTATTAGGAGTTGCAGTGGATCAAAAATACCAGCTGGGTTGTATTGCAGTCTCACTCTGATTTAGGGTTCTTTCTCGAAGCCTCAGTTCTAGGCATTCCACAGTAAGGGGGTACGTCGTAAGCTCAAACTTGTTAGCGAAAAGGCTTGGCGAATTAATCAACCACTTTAAGTCTCCATTTCCATAGATACAAATGCCACGGACGTAGTGGCCTGCAAAGGAGAGAACAAAAAACCATCAAAACATGCTTGCTTTCAGAAGTCGGGGTAGCGAACTTGCACAGCGTTGGGTTCCTCCAAATGCTAAGAAGCCAATGCTGGGCCAAGTGCTACGGGTTCTAACGAAACACGATTGTGTAGGCCCAGCCTGCAAAGAAGCACAGCTCTTCATAGGAAGACAAAGGGTACAATATGTATTTGAAGAAAATGAGTGTTAAGCAATATAAAGCAGGAACACACTAGGCATCACGAGGCAATTCATGTATTATCTAATTAAGAATTATGGATGAGAAGTTCTAGAAGAGTCTTTATGGGTTGCACTGGGCAGGCCTCTTCCCTGAGCTCCAGCCTAGTCTCTCCAAGTGCCTATTTTATATCTTCGCTTAGATGAGTGATAAACCTAACCAATATAACATGCCAGGACCGAACTCCTTAATTCTCTCCAGGTCTTCCCCATCGAAATCCACAGCGATTCTATTCTCTGGTGATTTTGGCACTTCTCCCCTCTCACCCCCCACATCCAGCCTGTCAGCAATTCTGTCAGTTCAACCTTCAAAATGTTAATAGAATTTGACTACTTCCCCCACCTCCACTGCTACCATCCCAGCCCCAGTCACCACCATCTTCCTGTCTTGAGCTGCTGCAATAATAACTGGTTTCCGCTGACTCCGGCCCTGCCTGTTAATAAAGTTCTCAGCACAACAGCCACAGTGATTGTTTTAAATGTAAGCAGAGCGTGTCTCCTCTGCTCGAACGGCTCCTCATCCTATGTGGAATAAAAGCCAAAATCCTAGCAATGGCATTCAAGACTCCTCAGAGTCTAGACCCTTGTCACCTGACTTACTTCCCACCGCTTGCTCGGCCACTTCTAACCCTTAATAACCCTCGCTCGTTCATTTCGGACACACAGGCCTCCCTGCTGGCCCCAAGCACACTAGGCGTGTTCTACTTGAGAATCCCCGTTTGCCCTTCCTCCCAGGGCCACCCCCTTTCCCCAGACATCCTCAAGGCTCCCTCTCGCACTACCTGAGGTCTCTGCCTCAAGGCCATCTCCTCAGTGAGGACTCGTTTGACCTCCTTTTCTGTTGCATTTTTCTTTTCACACTTATTACCAACTGGTATGTATATATCAGTGCTGTGAAGGAAAATGATATTTTGTTTATTGTCTTTCTTAACAGAGAACTGTTTGTCGTCTTTCTCCCCAGATTAGAATATAAGCTCCAGAAGAGCTGGAATTTGAAACCAGATTGTTTACTGCTGTGTCCCCTGCATGTGAACCAGTGTCTGGTAAATATTAGGTGTTAAATTAATAAGTTTTGAATAAAAGGATGGAGAAGGAGGAGTGGAGAATTAGTGGTTGGGTAGAATTAGCAAGCGTCAGGGTGATGAATGGTGGTTTCAGTTGGGGAAAACGCCTCTAAAAAACTGTAGAGATGGGAATGTTCTGCTAGAACGGGGAGTTTTATTGGGGAATGGGTTAGAAACAGAATGGTAGGAAGCTGGAGCTCTTTTTCAGAGGTTGCTTGGCATATAGTAGGACTATTATGGATGACTGACTTAAAACAGATTAAATAAAGACTTGGGCCTTTTTTTATCCCATAATTATGGAGTGTCTTTGAATAGAGGAGTCAACGATGAAATTCATTTTAGCAAGATTAATTTTTCAGAACTTTGCAGGGTACATTAGAAATCAATCAAGAGACTGCAGTAATACCTTAATGTAAACCAGAGAGCTCATTCAAAGTTAATGGTTTCCATGAGTGGGAAAGAAAGGATATTAGAGACAGAACACAGGAGGACTGACAGGTCTTGATGATTAACTCAGCGTGGCAGGGAGGAAGTGCAATGGAGAAGAAATCAGTGGGGAAAGAAGCCAGAGTTGCGGGAAGTTACCGAATAACCGGCTGAGAAGTTCAGGCGTAACTTGGTGGGGGGACCGAGCACACAGGCCGCATCCCCAGGCCTGAGAAAGTGGGAGGAAGGGGAGCGCGTGCTTCGGTCTGCGTCAGGCAGCGGCCTCCGGCTAGAGGCGGTCGGCAAACTTGCAGACGGAAGGGAAAGAATCATCAGCGAGAAAGGCGCCCAGAATGCGAGAGAGCCAGGGGATAAGCCGGGGGCACCCACCCCTCACGGAGACCACAGGCAGCGACCTGGGTGGGGAGGACGGGAAACGTTCCCTCTAGGAATGTGAGTGTGTCCAAAATACCCTCCGATGGAGGGAAGGGGTGCCACGAGAAAGGAATTGATAAGGAGGTTTTGATGAAATGTCTCAAAAGTTCTCCCTAGAGTTGAAATTGTCATTTTTTTTAAAGTGGAAAGGCTGTTTTAGCCCGAGATTGAGAGCTTAGAGGTGAGCAGGGAAGCTAAAGTGGCGCAGGCAGGGAAGATAGTGAGGTAAATAAAAGAGTAAGTGGCAGCCGGGAGCGCCCGGCTGCAGCTGGAGGGCAGGTCCCCTGACCATTCTCCAGCGACGCTGTGCAGGGACACGCAGGCGGCCCAAAGCAGACGCTGGCCGCGACTAAGCGGAGGAATCAGCCTGGCAGGGCCAAATGGCAAGGGAGCCTCAGACGCTAGTGAAGACAGCGTGGGACGGCTGACAGAGTGCACAGGCTGGGCACGGGGTCCTCAGAAGGAAACCAGGAAAAGGGAGAAGCTGGAACAGTTGAACCTCCGGAAATCCCAATTTTAAAAAAGGAAACACGTTGAAAACAGCAACGATGATGACAACAACAACATATTTCAGGTGTGGGGATGTAGCAATGGACAATTTGGTCAAAAATCCTAGCCCTCGTAGAGCTTTTATTCTGTTCTGGGGAGAAAGTAAATACATATAGTATGTAAATTGGTGAATGAAATTAGTAGTGTGGCAAAGAGATTGTAAGCAGAGATGAGAGCTCTAAGTTCAAGACCGTAGAGGTAGAATGGTGCTCTGTGATTCTAGGTGCTAAGAGGGCTTGTAAAGCAGGTAACATACATGGGGTTGGAACAAATCCTATTACAGCCGAGGGGAATGGTCTAGATCGCGTTACTGACTTGCTGAGTTGGCATGCAATGGTCTACTTCCTCTGAATTATGTCTTTTTCTTTTTCCTCTATAGTGGTTTGGGGGACAAATTTTTTTTAATTGATTCTAGAGAGAGGAGGGGAGAGAGAAACATCAGTGTGAGGGAGAAACATCAATCGGTTGCCTCCCGCATGTGCTCCCAACTGGGGATCGAACCCAAAACCTTGGTATGTGCCCTGACTGAGAATCGAACCTGCTACCTTCTGGTGTGTGGGACAATGTTCCAACCAACTGAGCCACAGTAGCCAGAGCTAGGAGACAAAGGATTTTCATGCTTTCAGGTGTTCATTGGCATAACAGGGACCAAGAGAAGAAAAATGAGACGTTTGTCTGAGAGAGGCTTGGGCTACCCAAGCTTTGTACCCAGTAGGTTCCTGGCTAGGGGCTACTTTCATGGCCCCCACCTTCACGTGATCAGAAAAGGTTCCTACAGAAATGCGAACCTGACTAACCTTTACCTTCTCTACCGGGACAGGGCCTGGATAGCGGTGATGACAAGGAGACTGAGGTAAGGCTCCACTTGGGGGTGGGGTGGCTGCTGTACAACGGAATGGGAGCTTCTGTGGTGGGGGAGGGCTAGAGCTGCAAAGGAATGATGTCACATGGGTCCCTGTTGGGGATGTTGATGTCCTCAAGTGCTGCAGCTGGAGAGGGTGGAGAAGCAGATCAGAGGATGCCTGCCGCAGTCCTAGAGGGGGGACGGTAGACATTACAGAAGGATGTGGAGGAGACAGCATAGCCAAATATTGGGCCCCTGACTGATGGTGCTGGTCCGTTTTCTAAAGAAGACCCAGGAGCTCCAAGAGCAAAACACCCTCCTCCTTCCAGCAGAAGGGCAGGGCCACCGTGAGAATGCAGGCAGGTGGTGTGAGCTGTCCCCTGGAGAAAATGTGGGCTGATTAAGGTAAAGATATGAATGTACTAAAGAATAGATTGAAATTCCTGTACAGTGACGTGAGGGTGTTGCCATCCACAGTGGGGGGGGCTCTCAAGAGAAAGACACAGAAGGAGGTTGAGTGTGATGGAGAGGTGTGGAAAAGCAGCACTCTACAGTTAGGTGTAAACAAAATGAACTGCTACGGGAAGCTGTGATTGAACAGGAGAGTGGAGGCGAAGCCTTGTTATAATAGGGAAAAAAGTCATATTGCATCTTCACTCATAACGTTCACTTAATCACTCACTCACTGAATACATATTCATTGCGTGCTATTATGGGTTGAGTTGTGTACCCTGCAAATTCACATGTTGAAGTCTTAACCTCCAGTACCTCAGACTGTGGCTATATTTAAAGAGGTAATTAAGTTAAAATGA